GGGGGGGGCTGCCAGGTAAGGGCTTGGGGAGAGGGGGAGATGCCAGGTAAGGGCTTGGGGAGACGGGGAGCTGCCTCAGGGCTTGGGGAGACGGGGAGCTGCCAGGTAAGGGCTTGGGGAGACGGGGAGATGCCAGGTAAGGGCTTGGGGAGACGGGGAGCTGCCTCAGGGCTTGGGGAGAGAGGGAGATGCCAGGTAAGGGCTTGGGGAGAGGGGGAGCTGCCTCAGGGCTTGTCCAGGCGTCAGTTTGGGATGAACAGAGCTGTGCAGGTGGAAAGACCCGTTCCCCAAGAAGAGAGAGGAAGAGTGATGGAGCAGGGAGGGATGCTGAGGTCCCAGCCGGGCTTTGCAGGACCCTGGCCGGGTTGCGTTCTGTAGCAGCTTGCGGGCTTCTTTCTGCCAGCTGCCCGGAGTGCTTCGCTGCTCCGCTTTCTCTTCCTCTTGCGTTTGGCACCCCCAGCTGGAGGGGGGTGAAGCGCCTGGACTTCCGTGGAGAGCCCCGGTGCCAACGTGTATTAGTTTCTGCTTTCTGAAATACAACCTCGAATCACAAAGTGCTAGCAGTCCATGTCCCAATCACTCGGGAGGCTTTCTGCAGTGCTGCAATAGTTCACCTCACTGTGGGGAGCTGGTAACTGAGTCACCCATCTCCTCCAGCTCCCCTGGTCCTGGCACATCTGAAAGCACAGATGAAGATGCTGATGGTTTTTTTTTCTTCCCATAGCCTGGTTGTTGCCCCTTGCCACTGTCCCTGCTTTGCTGTGGCAACAAAATGTTAGGACTCCCATCAACATCGCTGGTGCAGGCTGAGGTCATAGGTAGAGTGTGATTAAGGTAACGGGATTAGTTTTTCCTCATGTGGGTGTAATGATTTTATGTCTTTGCACTTTGGATTGTTACAGCTCTATTATTAACGTGAAATACTTGCAGGTAGGGTTGCTCATTAGCTCATGTGTGGCTGCTTAAAGTTTTCGCAGTGCTTTTCCACAGTAATTTTTGTTGCATTGAAGTCTTCCAGTGGACAAGTAAACTGTTCATTTTGGTCTGAAGACTTTGGGAATTGATGGTCAGTTGGCAGCTGAGCAAAAATACTGCATCTGCATCCCAGAATAAAGTGAAAGACTTCTTTGGCAGCTGAATTTCTACTCTTCCTGGCATGTGCCAGCCCTCCCAGTAGCAAGGAGTTACTGGGATTTTGGTTCTGGAGTGCAGTGCCAGGGATCCAACTTGGAGTCTGAAACTGCTGCTTTCTTTGGATGCTGAGATGTGGAGGTTGAGGTGATGCAGGACAAGAAGCAGGAGTGCAGGGATTGTGCGGGTAGGAACCACAGGAAAGATGGACAAGGAATTGCACATGTACGTTTTGGTTTTGTGTTATGAATAAGGATGTGCCTTTTCTCCTGCTCTTCTCTGTTCTATGGATTCTGCAATAAACGTCCCATGTCAGTCTTTGTTACTGTAGTGGCAGGATCATTACCTCAAGTGGAGCGTTTTGCTTGAAAAAAGAATGTTTCTACAACAGCAGCTGGAGTCTTCTGTCATCTCTAGGTCTTCAGTTGCAGGATGACCAGGATAAATTTATGTGCATGCACAGTATTTTCCTGTGAAAGATTCTTCTGCAAAAAAACTTTCATTAATGCTCAGTTATCAAATATGCTATATACTGGGTGTAGTACTGCAGTTGAATGTAGAAATGAAAAGGTTAAAACCTGAGCTATGAAAGACTTGATTGTGATGTGTCATTGGAGCAAATGGCTCAGAAGCATGATACTAAAGGAAGACTTTTCCTTTATAGTTTTATTAATACTTACTGTGATAGACATTCAGAACTCTCCCTGTTAAGGCTTTTCACTTCTGTTCAGTTTTATGTTCACAGGAAAATTATTTTTGTTTTTCTTTTCTTGTGTTACAGCTTGGCACTGCAATTGGCTTTTTGTTGCCACCTGTTTTGGTTCCAAACACGCCTGATGATCTCGATCTGATGGCACATAACATCAGCATCATGTTCTATGGAACAGCAATAGTGTCCACACTTTTGTTCTTCTTAACAGGAGTTGGTAAGTGTTCTGTTATTGTGATTTAAATGACGACCATAAGGAGTGTTTACAACATGTTACTTAAAGCATCTGAGGTGGCTTAAAGTAGTTGAGGTTACATTTTGTTGAGGTTACATTTTCTCCGGTTTACTTGTGTGCAATTACCTGTTGCCCCGGGGTTAAGTATCCACGAGTTTAGTGTATGCTCTGCTTCCCTGGGGTGACCTTTCAGAATATTTGGATCACTTAAGCTTTTTGCTACAAGGGTATTATGATATAATGTGAATTCTCGCTGTTGATCTTAGAATTCAGATACAGAGGTCTAGACACATTGCAGAAAAAGTCTGTGTGTGACCATATGTTGGTAGCAATGAGATGTAACCAAATAGACTTGACGTTTCAGTGAGCAAATCTAGAATGTATTTTTTTCATGGAAGTGTTAAAACACCCAAGTTTGTCTTCTGAAATTCATCAAACTGAAACACTTTGAAAAGAAAAAGCATTAGTCTGGTAAAGATGAGTTAAAATTGTTCCTCCTTCTTTTTCCCCAGTGTTTGAAGAAAAGCCCATATACCCTCCTAGTCACTCTCAAGCAGTCCTGCGAACTGTGCCTCCCGAGGATTACTCCTACAAGCGGTCGATTATTAACTTGTTCAAGAATATTCCATTTGTACTTTTGCTGATCAGTTATGGTAAGTGGTCTGCTGAACAATTTAAACGCGTTCCAAAAGCACGTTTTTTGTTGTGGTGGTGCTTTCTTTATGAGGGAGGGAGTGTCAAACTTTTTCTTACTAAGCAGGCAATATTAGAAAATCCGGCAGGATTCAAAATACCATTTGTAGGTGTGGTGAAGATACTTTACTTGGCAGACAAAAGGTTTTTCCTCTAATGTGAGTCTTAAATATCAAAATATTAACTCTTTAGGGTAGCATATCTGTGTGGCTACACCTGGAATGACCAAAGCTTTTCTTTTATTACTGCAGGTATTATGACTGGAGCATTTTATTCTGTTTCAACATTATTAAATCAGATGATAATAAGTCATTATAAGGTAAGTTGCTTGGATCTTTTTTTGTTTTTCTTTTTTACTGTACATTTGCAGAGGTGGTACTTTAGTATTCTATAGGTGCTATGTGTGCACAGAAGTTTGGTTTTCTTTATACCCCCCTACAGTTTCTTGCACCATAGAGCCATGGAAGTCAAAGGAATGCTTTTGCTTATGACTGCCAAGAGGTCTGAATTTGACTCTGAGTGGAAGCAAGTTATTAATTAGCACCATATAAATATTTGTTGAAAGGGAGAAGAAGTGAACGCTGGGAGAATTGGCTTGACACTGGTGGTGGCAGGAATGGTGGGTTCGATTATTTGTGGTTTGTGGCTGGATTACACTAAAACATACAAGTAAGTGTGGGTAGGCATGTATGGGGTTAGGGGTAGGAGAGCGGTGCAATTGCATTAGAAAAATACTGTAACCTTAGGGCTGAAGTGAACTGATGGTGAAATGCAGTTCATCCCTGATCCTTTAGCAGCCTTGATGAAGACTAGTTTCTGAGGCTACAGCAAAAGCTCGAGAGTCTTGCTGGTTTTTGGCCAAAGGAAATGAGGGAGGAGGATGCAAAGATGTGAAGGGGATTTTTGATCTCCTGTCTCTTCAGGAGTGTAAGGCTGACAAGGAAAGCACTATATGTCCTGTGTCCAGGTGGCCCAGTGGGCTCCTTTTCCTAGGAAAGTACAAAGGCTCCAAACCTACCGTGCATAGTTTTGTAAAATGAACAGTTGATAGGTTCTCATTTTTTATACCACTCCTGGTCCTGTTAGTAAGTGTAACATTTGCTTTAATTCAGAGGATGACCACAGAGCAGAACTGTCTTCTAGGATAGGAGTTCCTGGGTCCATCACCCATGGTGTGGTGTCCCCCCAAGAGTGAGCAGTGTCCTGGAACTCTGCTTGTGGTGGAGTAGTTCTCCCCTGTGACTCTTAGTACATTATGTGCAAGAGCTCTAGAAACCTAATGGATGTTAATGGTGTAGATCGGCTTTGTTTCTGCATGTGTTTTGGCTTATAAATACATAGTGGTATGTGCTTTAATATTTTGGATGACATTCCCTATTCCCGATTAAAAAGAAATAGAACATTGTAGTGAGATTTGTTTGGCTTGCCTCTTAGGCTGACTTTTGTCGCTAGTAGTGTTTGATATGGCTGCTCATGTTGTATAATGGGCAGTGCTGAAGAGTGGCTGAGAGGTACAACATGGTGGAGAACTAAAATGGCCTTAAGGTAATAATAGTATCTGCTGTGATTGTCCACTCTTTGAGAGTCTGAGTAAGTCTCTTTAGCCTTATGACTGCTTATGTGAAGCAGTCATATAACCAAGGCAATAAAGAGTTTGGGAAGGGATACATTCTCATTGCATAGTATGTTTGAGTCAGAATTACATGAAGCAAATTTTATAGCTGTAAAATGTCAGTTGTTAGAGAGTAAGTAGTTACTCTTCCATGCTTCAGCAATGTACTATGACCTTATGTTAACAATGTTAATTTTATTTTTTTTTCTTGGTTGGGTTGCAGGCAAACTACTTTGATTGTTTACATTCTCTCTTTCATTGGGTTGCTGGTATTTACTTTTACCCTGGACCTCGGATACCTTATAGTAGTGTTTGTGACCGGAGGAGTACTTGGGTGAGCAATTAAAGATGACTAGAAGACTTGCTGTAGTTCTGTTCAGAAATAATATTTAACCCAACTAAATTATTCTACTGTATGTTCTGTTGCCATCCTCTCAACCTGTGCCTATAACTTGTGGTACAGATAGGGTTTACTTGGGTTTCACCTTCTGTTACATTAGAATAAATCTAAAGTAACTCACTTTTCAGTGAATTTCATTTAACATTTTTATGGGCCTAACAGAAGTCTGTATGTGATCAATTTGTTCCAATTCAAAAAGCTGCCTGCGGTAAAGTAGGTTCTTTCTGTTGACCAGTGGATGCATGATTAGAGTTTAACTGAGCAAATCTAGGAAGACTGTATTGTGTGCATTTTGGTTAATCTGTATTTTGATAGCCCAAGCAATGTGCTGGGTGCTTTGTTCACTCAGAAGAACGTGAGCACTTCTCGTAGATGCATAACCTAAAAGGCCCAGGGAGGGCTGAGGGAATAGTGCTGTATCCAGCCATGCAGTTGAGGACTCATCAGAGAAGGTTGTTTCAGAGGCATGGAGTCCAGGTGGTTATGAGAAATGGGACAAATATGTTAAAGCACCTTTGTCCTAAAAAGAGACATGTGGGTAGAATTGTTGGATGAGCAGGCAGAGCAAGAATCACGTTAGGTCTTGAAAACAGAATTCAGAATGCCACCAATTTCAAAAAACAATGTGTTTATATTCTTAGCTGTAGTAATAGATGAAGGCCACACCTGTCATCCTTTTACTCTCCTCTTTAACAGGTTCTTCATGACTGGCTATCTCCCACTTGGGTTTGAATTTGCTGTGGAAATCACATATCCAGAGTCTGAAGGCACTTCCTCAGGTCTCCTTAATGCATCAGCACAGGTTATATAATTTTATTTCTTCAAGTGAAATACTGTTCTTGATAGCCACTCTGCTTGAATCTGTGAAGGCTTTCTTAGAGTTGGCTGCTAAGTCTTTTATGTTGTTGTAGTCTTCATTTTTTCAGTTTGGTTTTTATAAGATGTGTCCTGAAACTTTTCAAGGTAAAGGGATGACTCTCCTATGTGATCCTGATGAAATGACTTGTTTGTTTATAGATATTTGGAATTATCTTTACACTTGTTCAAGGAATACTCACAACAGACTACAGTCCTCGTGCAGGAAACCTCTTTCTTAGTGCTTGGATTTTTGTGGGCATTATTTTAACAGGTAATTATTCAGAAATATAAGTAATGAATTCTCTTAATGAAAAAAATATGAAGGTTTTTTTTAGACAGTGAATTTCTGGGGAGTTTTTAGATGTCTCGGGTGTCTATGATTTAAATATGTGTCTTCCCGTCTGGGCTGACAGAAGTTGTAAGTTCAGGGTTTGTTTGGTTTTATTTTCTTTGTTTTTCACTTTGTCTTAAGGATGATGTTGCTGATACATGAACAACCATGTCACCCATTTCTTGAGTCATGTTTTGAATTTGAGGCAGATCTTTGTCTCCAGAGTAGGATAGCAAATGTAATCACACTCATAACAGGAGACAGTTTGCAGTTTTCTACATGAAAGAAACTGCTCGTGTGTTTCTGAACTGTACCACTGATTTACACGTGCTGATACTTACAAATATGCTGAAAGTGCTAAAATAATTAAGCTTTGCTTTAAGTACTCATGGTTTAAAAGCTTTTGTTGTCCTTTTCTGCATGTGCTTTGTGAGGAGCAAGTTCCAATTGTCAGTAAGTTCAAACAGCAAAAGAGCAAATACGGAGATTTTGAATATGTGCTAAAAGCAGTTTCCGTCTGCTTGCACGGTACAAACATTTCCCTTGAAATACATGTCATTGCAAAGTTGTGAACCAGCTTTCTCTTTATGTTTTTGTTTCAGCCTTAATAAAGTCAGATTTGCGAAGACACAATGTGAATTCAGGGATTCTAAATTTGGATGTTAAAGCTGTAAGTGGTGACTTCTGCTATGATTGTATTGTCGTGCTTGAATACTTGGCTTCTATTGGCATAATAATATTAACAGCAAAAGAGTAAATAATGAAAACTTAGGACTGTTTCTATGCTCTTTTGGAACAACAAAGCCACGTGGGATGCTGCACCTGGATATCTGCTTTGCCCCTTAGCTCCCATGAAAAAACCTAGAAGGCCACCTTCTCTCAGATTTACCTGAATTATAAGTGGCTAACATTAATCTCTGATTTTATTTCTTGAATATTGCTTTTTCATATTTGCAGGTAGCATTGTAAATTGTGAAGCCTTTTTGTGGGTTGGGTTAGGAGGCTGTGTTACAGACTATATATATAATTTAAAATACCTGCTGTCTCTTTAAGTGAAGTCAGTGTCTCATGAACAGAAGTCATGCTGCAGTTTCTATACTGTGCTCCCTGAAGCGCTGAGTCTGTTCTGCTGAGCAACCTTTCGATTTAAATGAAGAGTGAGCGCAGCACTCTGCTGTTCAGGAGATCCAGAGAGCATGATTCAGCAGCTTTTCCAAGTTATCACAGTTACTGATAGAAATAGGGCTGTCACTGGAAAGTTTTCAGTTTGATCATTTGGGTCAAGGTAATGAAACAGCTTTTTGGAGTCAGATACTGCAAGATCCTCTGTCACGCTTACTTTTACGTGTAGGTGTCTTGCATATATAGCAGCTTCTGATCATCTGTGATCAGGTGCATGCTGTTAGTGTCTGCATAAGGGTCAGAAACTTCCAAGCTGGTGCTATATGAGCTCACTGGAACCTAAAACCTGTGCAGCTGTGTGTGCACAGTGTGGCACCCTGGGGGTTTACCGGCCTGGGTCAGGGCTGTTTTTGGGGGTGTTCATGCTGACTACAGGCAGTGGTCCATGACTTGTCTGTTTTCCGTTATCACCTTGTTAATTAGCCCAGATTGTCACACACCTTCATTTATGTTAGCTAGGATATAACAAAAGCCTGGAGTCCTTGCCCTGATACTACCATAAATAATTGAGAGCTGCCTGTGTTAATAAGGTACTATTGTACTTCAATGCCAAACCTTGATTATCAAGTTTCTAATGTGTTTAAATGTAATGGAGAAAAAATCTGAAAGTTAATCTCCACATGATAAAGATCTATATAGAGTAATTATATACTTTAGAGTTATACTTAGACACTCAATTCTCTATTTTTGCACTGGTTTTTTTTTCCATTACACAGAGAAGGGGAAATAGAGCTTTCTATGAAAGCCTAATTTGGATAATTAACTGCATATACTGTTGGAGTCTAGCCTAATCATTACCCAAGAATACTGAGGCTGGGAATAACTTCTCCTCAATAACAGCTTAATTCCTGCTTTTTTTTTCTCCCCTCTCCAGGTTCCAGTTGACAGTCCTGTAGAATCTGAAAGTACTGCAGTAAAAAGTCAGTCAGCTTTATAAAGCTGAAAGAAGGTGACTTTGAAATGCACAAGTTTGGTTGGATACTGAACAATATTAATTAGTGTAATCACTGGATTTGTGTGTATTAATTGTAAAATGTATTTGGTGATACGAGCGATAGTTGTGCAGTGGAAGCTATGAAGATACTCAGTTGTTTTTGCCCAAGAAACAAACATTTCAGTTTTGTATGGAATATTTATTCACAGAATCACTTAGGTTGGAAAAAACCTTCAAGATCATCGAGTCCAGCCATTAACCCTACTATCCCAAGTCTAGCATTATTTCAACAGTTTTCAAGTTGTGCAGTTTCATGAGTAAAGAGCTGTGTGATGCTCCATGCTAGGGAGACTTGTGCATTCAGGATGTACTCTCCATGCTAGGGAGACTTGTGCATTCAGGATGCAGACTTGAAAAGATCTGGAAGCCTGAATTACAGTTGTCATGATCAGAAGTATCTAATCTTTTCTTGGTCGGTTTTTGCTAGTGCATTTGAAAAGTCAGAGTAGGTAGCTGCACAGCTGGAGGATGTTCTCAAGTTCCTTTTTTTAAAAAATGTATCTGTATTTTTAATATAAGCCAGTGGTTCCTTCTGGGAAACTGTTTATAGCACAATGCTGGAACCAGGAGATTATTACAAAAGTTTGCGTTTCACACTTTCACCTGACATGTCTTTTGCCTTGAAACTTCCTGGTAGATATCAGAAGGCAGATTAGAGAAAACACTCTCCTGTAGATTCATTGGAACATTTTTTGGGGAGTTTTAAGGAGTTTCCCACTACATAAACTGAAGAAAAAGCATTTCTTGTTAAGTAAAGTAAAAAGGAGCAGAAAGGCCTTTGATACCTCTACTGTGAAGTATTTATAGACAATGGAACACGACTACATAGGGTGCCTCCATGGAATATTCTATGTGCTTTCTCAGTTAAAGTGAGAGAGGTATGAATTTACAAAGAGCTGGTGCCTTTACTTTGTAAAGAAGATCCTTGCCTCATCTTGAGTTTAACAGTGCTGCTGAAGAAATTCTGTTTTGTGTGTTACACCTCCTGAGCTGAATATTTGTGATGTGTCAGAAAATGTGTTTAGTCCTTTTTTGCATTTATTTCTCAGCATCATGAATGGTATAATTTGTCATGTGGAATTTTTATGCTTGCATAACTTAAAACATGTCTTTTGGAGTTTGTTAAAAGCTGTAAGAATACTGAAAAGAAAATAGTGATGTTTCATTCGTTTCAATGAAATATTTGCTGCTTATGTCATGCATCTTAGCTACAAAGGAGCAGACTTTGTTAACGTTCACCTTGTGAATTTGGGATGTGGATTTCTTACTGCAGTGCTTTTGAAAATACTCTCCTTTACCTTGTGCTTTCTCTACCACCTAGAGAATTGATGGCACTACAACAATACTGAGGCCCTCCTATTACTGAAAAACTCAGACCTGAGTTAGCAGACTTTTTCAAACATTTAAGCTTTAGCAGCCTGTAAGTTGAGTCTGCAGGTGAGTGATCAATGATGCCATCTCTCTGAGTTCCCACAGATGTAGTGCCATCCAGAAGGTGGGATCTTACTTGAAGTTTTCCACAGATAGTTTCAGTTGGGTATGGGGACATTTTTAACTCCCAATGTAGTGGTTTAATATGATAAGTATCATTAAGTGCTTTTCTTTTGCTTGTTTCACTGTAGCTTTAGAATATCCTTTTTGATATAAAAAGAACCCTGTAAACTTAGCTTTCTAAACTTAGCCTCTAAACTTGGTGATCTTGGTTTAGCCTTTTGTAATGACAAACACTTCAGACATGGGAAGACTGAATGGCAGTATACATATTAGCACAAGCTAAGCATGCTTGGAACACTTGCCTTTCCAAAAAGATCCATCTCTCTTTGCCAGGTCCAATGCCAGACAGAAAATGGACACACCTTGCTGCTTTTGGAGAGGCAAACTCTGTAAGAAGAGCACTCTGGTGAGGTAGCTCAATATAGGAAAAATAACTTGTAGATAGTAAAAGAGGAGGCAAAAGTATAGGAGTGGAAGTAGTGGTGCTTTTGTGATGTCATTTTTTTACATATAATCACTTGCTGTGGTGTAAGCTGCCCCATCAAAGGATCTACACATTTTCAGCTTGCATGAGCAAAGTAAGAGTTCCTGCCTGTTGATGTGTGTGGGTGGCTTTTCTTTTGGAAAAATATTAATAATATGTGCCAAAATAGGTACATTATTCTGCAAGGTACAGATTCGGTAAATATTTGTGTTTGTAACCCATGGTTGCTTTATACTTCTATTGCAAAATCTTACCATGGTAATTTTCTTTGCAGTTTGGGGGAATTGTTTTAAAATCTTCAATAGAAAGTGTTTGGCAGTATCTGGAATGCTTTCTGAATTGTCCAGATACACACTGTTCAGATTCAAAGATTGATCTTCTTTCTTCCTTTTTAAAATTTATTTTTAAATTCTTGTAATCACTTCTAGTTTCCAGTTTCTCTTGTTATGTTTAGCTGATTATTGAAAAAATATTCTAGCCCCTCTGCCTCCTTGTGTTTTTATCTTCTGCCAAATTACTTGACTACACTCAGAAAAGGCCCAAACAAGAATTTGGCATGCTGGAAACTCTGCTAAGTCCCTGAAAAGAAAATATTATTAATAATGAAGGCGTAATTACATCTTGGATTTAATACTCCCCCTCTAAAAGTAGCTTGAAAGTCGGAAACCTGTGAGTTACTTCCAGGCAACGATAAAGTATTTAAATAGAAGGCTTAGCAGCAAAATAAAGAGTGAATAAAGAACAGACCAGTATTTTATGCAAAAATCTTAATATCTGTTTGTCAAGAAACTGAGATTCTAGTTCATGGCAAAAATAAATTTGGGGTTGCTGGGGCTTTGGGTTTTTTTGCTTTTAATTTTTTCTTTTAAACTATCTACCCAGTCAAACATCCATCTGGAACTGAAAATAGGGTTTCTGACTCTTAGTCTTGAGATTCTGGCTCAGCCCTCCAGTAAAGAGTGGATGTGGGATTAAAGATCATAACTGTTTACAGAGGTAATAATTTAGTTAATGGAATTTATGTCAACTATGAGGATAGAGTGCAAAATCAAGTGAGGAGAGGCATCCCAGTCCCATGCTTCAGCTTTTGCTTTTCAATGTGCTTTTAAGTGCTTCAGGAGAACTCTAGAGAATGCAAGAGAAGTCATGTAATAGTGACCCTAAGCAAGGAGGCTGGCCCCAGGTTTCCAAGGACTAACTAGGGTGTTTAGTTGCTGACTTGCAGCTACAAGATTCAGAGATTGGCCTTTAAAAAAAAGTCTATCTTTCTTTTTTTCTTCCAGATCATGTTAAACTTTTGCTAACTGCAGTGGGTCAGAGCCAAAGAACGTTGACCCATTTTTATTTAGGAATCCTAACATGGTCTTAATCTCATTTCTGTCTGAGTTTGAAAATGTCAGACCTGTAAGGCATAGTCTGGAATTCCTGCAGTTGGGAGCTTTAACCTTGGTTCTTCAGGGCATTTATTTTGTAGATGAGTGCTTATCTTCAATAACAGCTCTTTCTGTTGCTGAATTCTCCTGTTTTATGAGGAACAAAGAACAAGGGAAAAAGTGGGAAGAATACATCTTAATAATTTCAGGCTAATAGGGCTTTCCTAACTTCATTTTCTTGGTCATCTCATTTGTTCAAGACAGTCTGTTGTTTCAGAGACAATCACTGGAGTGTGTAGTTAGAGCTGCCAGCCCGTATTGCCTGATGAAAAAATGCTTTTTGAGAAATCTTTAGACTATTTTGTGTTTCTATGACCAAATGAAAGTGAGTTGAGCTATAAGCATTTATTGCTTTCATTTTTCATTCCGTGAACTCGTGAGTTCTCCTGTGTGAATGGGAATGTGTGACCTTTTTCATTGCTGTCCTTCAATACATGTACATAGAACCTTTTGAAGTGTTAAAGGTTACTAATGACTCAAGGACCACAAACTAAGTTATTGTATCAGTGTACTTTCCCCACCACCACCATTCAATCTGAAGTCTGTGAAGACAGAGAATTCATGTTAATGCATGAATTGGAATTGGTTAAGGAAAAAATATTCCTAAGAGAAATGTATTTCCATGTGAGACCCTTGTTATTTACTGTATGTGTCTTAGTTCTCATGAATATAGCAAATACTTTTGCTGTAATTTGTTGGGTTTGTTAGTGTCCTTTGCTTCAAGAGAAAATTAAAAATTCTTTATTAATATTCTCTGATTGCAATATTGTACATATGTGTATGTGTGGGTGGCATCATTCCTTACCAATATATGTTACTAATAAAGTGTATGACACGTAACTTGATTTGAGCCAAGATTGCCGTTTTTGACAGCTGCTGATGCAGCTAATGGTCTAAAAATTACTCTTTTTTTTTTTTCCTTAGAAACTGCCATTTAGTAGTAAGAAAATGTTGTAAGTGTATGATATACTGTGTCATGAATAAACATGCGTGCGTATTTATATGCAGAGTGTTTGTATGCAAGGTATATAAATGTATTCTACACGAGAGTATTGGCTTTTCTCAGGGCATGGAATTAAAATTATTAGCATTGGTAGAAGAGTTGCACTGCTCTAGCATGTTGATTTCTCCACATTTGCTTTGGAAAAGATCTGTGAGGAAAAGAAAGTGCAGTTAATCCCTAAAGCAGAGCAAAATCAAAGACAGCTCCTTAAGGGTAGTACAAATACAATTTTAATACAACACCCAGCTGTAGGCAGATGATCTGGGGAGAGAGTATAGAGACCTTGCATGCAGGTATGGCCCAACTTTTGTTTCTAAACCTGAAATTGTCTTCAGTAGGAGCACATTAGGACCCTTGTGAGCACTCTGCAAGGGTTCTGTCACTTATCCGCAAGCATTTAGCCCAGCAGAGCAGCTGTGAGCCAGGTAGGTTTGAGGAACCTGACTCAAAGGAAGTAGTGACTAAGAAAATGTTCTGGCTTTGTTTTGTTTTCGTTTTTTTTTAGTCTCTCTTTTCCACAAAACGAGCA